TCTGAATTCACCCTTCTTGAGAAGATTCGTGAGGGGTCGAGCTATGATCCCATAGTTACGGACGAACATCCTGTAATACCCTATAAGGCCTAAGAAGCCTCGCAAGTCAGTAATATGAGTGGGTTGAGGCCACTTAAGCATAGCCTCAATTTTCCCTTGGTCTACCTTGACCCCGTGGAAGTGACAATGTGTCCCAGATACTCCACCTCTGGCTGACCGAATATGCATTTACTAAATTTGATAAAAAATTGGTGATACCTTAAAACCTCAAAAGTTGTTCGAACATGTTCAAGATGCATGTTCTAGTTGGGACTGTAGATAAGAATATCATCAAAGAAAACTAGCACAAATTTACGGAGATAGGGTCGAAAGACAGAATTCATAATAGCCTGAAATGTGGAAGGTGCAGTACACAGGCCAAAAGGCATAACCAAATACTCATAGTGACCATTGTGTGTGCGAAATGCCGTTTTATGAATGTCCAGTGGGTGGATCGTACCTGGTGATATTCGGATCGTAAATCAAGTATGGTAAAAAAAGAAAGCTCCATACAATTCATCTAGCATATCGTCAACAGTGGGGATAGGAAATCTATCCTTAATGGTCACGGCGTTGAGTGCCCGATAATCGATGCAAAAACACCAAGTCCCATCTTTTTTCTTAACTAGCAAGACAGGGGAAGAAAATGGACTTGTGCTAGATCGGATGAGTCCCAACCGTAACATATCTTGTACTTGTTTTTCGATCTCAGTTTTTTGGAACTAGGCATACCTGTACGGCCGGACGTTGACAGGTTCTGTTCCTCCTTTGAGAGTGATGCAGTGGTCTATCTCTCTTCGTGGTGGCAGTTGTGTTGGTTCTTGGTAGAGATCACTGAATTCCGCTAATAGTTGCTGCATATCCGGGCTTAGTTGTGGAGACACTTCTTCTGTGATTGCTTGGAGGCAGATGGAAAATAACGTGTTCCTGTTTGATCCCCTTCGTAATCTGTCTGAAGGAGGCAGGCTGAATTGTTTGGTAGTCGATCCCCTTCAATAGCCGGTGTTGGTTGGCCCAAGAAAACTCCATCGTCATACGCTTCCAATCACATGCCACAGTTCCCAATTGCTCTAGCCAATGGATTCCTAGTACCATATCCAACCCAATTAGTGGTAAAGATCAAAGTGTCAAGGTGAATGGAATACCTTGTAGAAGGACATGCACGTTCTCAAATCTTCCTCGGCACTTAAGGGGTTCACCATTGGCTACCTTGACGTTGAACGACTCGGTAGGTATTACCGGTAGGTGCAGCAATTCGACTATCTTATTGTTGATGAAATTATGGGTGGATCCACTGTCAATGAGAACAATCAATTCGTGTGATCCTACCTTGGCCGTGACACGCATGGTCCTAGCTGCCGACCAACCCGTGAGAGCATGTAGAGATATTTCTGGCTCCCTACGCAGTTCGGTGAAGCTTTGTTCGGCATCTTCTGGTTCGTCGTCGCTGCAGTTCCCGTCGAGCAGTAACAGTTGCGGTCCCTTGCATTTATGCCCGGGCCCAAACCTCTCATCGCAGTTAAAACACAAACCTTGAGCACGCCTCCGCTGCATCTCCGTCCAAGAAAGACGTTTCAATGATGGGGTGGTCTTCGTCTTTGTCGGGAAGGAGTCGCTGGAGGTCCTGGTAGCTGCACGCAGAGTCCTCTCCTGACGACACAACTGCTCATCCTTCATTCTGGCCAAGCTGATAGCCTCCTTCAAGGATTTCGGTTTGAACATCCGAATCCCGTCGGCTATGTCAGTTTTGAGCCCTCCCATGAACGTACCGACTAAAGCCTTCTGGGTCCATCCGTGCACCCTATTGCCCAGTCGTTCGAACTCCTTCTGATAGTCACGTAGAGACCCCGTTTGTCGTATTTTGGATAATGACTCATCGAAGTCTTCACTGTCGGTTGGGCCGAAACGGGCCCAGAGTTCTTCTACAAAAATCTTCCATGTTACCTCCTTTCTGTCTTCGATATAGGTCCGGCGAAGCCATTGCCACCATTGGTTTGCTTCTCCTTCCAAATGGAAGGAAGCTAGTGACACTTTCTGTGGATCCTCGGTGTGTTGGTATTCGAAGAACCGATCAACACGGGCGAACCATTCGGTTGGGTCATCACCTGCAACTAACCCTTCTTAAGGTGAGAATAAGACCATAAAAGTTTATTGATTTTCGACTCCTTCACCATGTGGTGAGGTGGTCTTTAAATACAAAAACTTTTCTTAATTTCCTACCACTGAGATAGCCTCAAAGTAAGGGATTAGCTCTCTAATTACCTAGCCGATCCCAAGGCCTTCTCATACTAACAACTTAACAGAAATAATAAATAACTTATTTGACTCAATCTTATGCTTAAGACCAGCTAACTGCTAACAACATGCTTGAGACTAGCTACCCTCAACAACTAACTGC